TTTGATCTATTTAGCAAATAGATTTTTAAAATTGGTATTCATTCGCTGAATTTTTTAAATAAAAGTTGCTTCTTTTAAACTCAAACATAAACACATTTCTTGTATTTTTTCTGAGAATAGGGTGATACTTGCCTTTCTTTGCTGGGTTCCAACCCAGGGCCTCTTGCATGCTAAACATGCAGTCTACCACTGACTGTACTCTCAACCCCAGTAGCTGTTTTTCTATCGTTAATGATTGGGATAGTTTTGCTAAGTCAAGGGAAGCAGACTTACAGTTTTCAAATTTTCCTGTAAAAGCAATGACCTGGAAGAACATTTAGAGGAACCTGTTGCTGAGCCAGAACCTGATCCTGAACCAGAACCAGAGCAAGAACCTACATCTGAAATCCAAGAAGAAAAGTCTGAACCTGTTTTAGAAGAAGCTGCTCCTGAGGATGCTCAGAAGAGTTCTTCTCCAGCACCCACGGACATAGCTCAGACAGCACAGGAGGACTTGCGGGTAGGGAACATGCTGCAATTTATCTTTTCTTTTCTCTTTCTTTCTTTCTTTCTTTCTTTCTTTCTTTCTTTTTTTTTTTTTTTTTTTTGGAACCGGGGATTGAACTCAGGCCCTTGCGCTTACCAGGGAAGTGCTTATTCCACTGAGCCATCTCCCCAGCCCTACATGCTACAATTAAAAAAAAAAAAAATTCCAGTTCTAGTTTTTCTAAAAAATTTCTAGTTATTTAAAAAAATAATTTCTCCTTTAAAAATGTTTGGTTGACTTTTTTTTTTTCATTTATTTATTTATTGTGTGTGTGGGGGGCAGCTCAGCCCACCAGGGGGCAGGGCTGACTGGCATGTGGTGCTGGGGGATTGAACTGCGGTCCCTGTGCTTTGCTAAGCTTTTTTTTTTTTTTTTAAGTAGGTGCTTTAGACCACTGAGCCATCTCACCAGCCCTGTTTGGTTGACTTTAAAACATTTTTGTTTTGGTTATCTTTTGTAGATGCCTTTCACTTTGGTTATTCAGGAACATTTCATAAGTAATGGGCCATGTCTCAGATAAGAAGTGTCATGTGTATTGCTTTGTAACTTCAAAGGGAGCCACTGGGTGCCCCTCCTTCCCAGGGCACCTCATTGGTGCGCAAGTCTAAAATTCCAGATGCTGTTTTTATCAGCACACCAATAATGCCCTAGTCTTTTGGAGTAAAGTATTACTTGCTTGTAATGATACAAGTGTGGGGCCAGGTTATAGCTCAGCGGCATAAGTGCCTGCCTGGCAAGTGGAAGGTCCTGAGTTCGATCCTTAGTACTGTAGAACAAACAAAACAAATAACAAGTGCATGACAGCTTTTTTAGGGTTATAATACGAAATTGAGCATGTGTTTGATGCAGAAGCTGAAACAGACTGTTTACAAAAGTTAGAAGCTTGGCAGATAGTCTTGAGTACCATTATGATCTTTTGATAAAGGAACCACAGAGCGCTTACCTTTGGTGACCTGAGAAGGGATATTTTTATTTATTTTTTTAATTTCTATTTATTTATTTTTTTTTAAATTTTATTTATGTGTGTGTGTGTGTGTGTGTGTGTGGCCAGCTCAGCCCACCCAGGGCGGGGCTGGCTGGCATGTGGTGCTGGGGGATTGAACCTCGGTCCCTGTGCTTTGCTAAGCTTGTTCTAAGTAGGTGCTTTAGACCACTGAGCCATCTCACCAGCCCCGGAAGGGATATTTTTAGTACTACATTTATGTTGTCAGTATTTTTTTTCGCAGAACCCAGGATTGAACTCAGGCCCTTGCGCTTGCCAGGGAAGCACTTATTCCACTAAGCCATCTCCCCGGCCCCCAGTATTTTTATAGTGTCAGGTGTTTAACATTTTATTCAGGTGCCTGCACTGTGTTAGATAGTTACAGGTGAGATAACATCATGGATAAAATGGGTAGGATTCTTGCTCTCTAGGTGTCAAGGAGGCTAAGAAAAAAACAAGTGATTTTTGCTTGTAGATTTTTTTTTTCCTCTGTGAGTGTACTTTACTATTGTTAATGCCACAAAAATAAGTTGAGAGTCAGCTCACAGGGAAATAGTGATATTTATGTGATCTGTTACTATCAAATGAGTCACCTACAGTATTATCATCCAAGACAAACTTGGGCCAGGTGTTGTGGCAATGCCTGTTACCTGACCACTTGAGCCCTGTGAGCTCAAGGCCAGTCAGAACAGCATAGCGAAACTGTCTCAGAATTAAAAAGCAATTATGTATCATGTACCATCCTTACTCCTAGAGAAGAAACCTGCAATTGTGGTATAAACATTAAGAAATCTCAGATATTGACTCACAAATAATATGTACTAAATGTGACAGCTATAGCTTCATTCACTACTGGCAGAAAAGAATTTGTTAGCAGTTTTACAGAGGTGACTCTTAAAAGAGTAACAAAGCTTATGGCTACACTAGTAAAGATATAGTGTTGGTAATGGAGGAATGTGGGAAGAAAATTTTGACCCCTTAAACTCCATGATGTGGCTAGAAGAGAGAGAAGTGGTACAAAAGCTCTTACTCAGGAGCAGAAGTGTGTTTATAGAATTAGGTAAAGGTAAGAGAGAGAACTAAGGAGAAATAGAAGATAAAAGAAAAGGGAGAAAAAAATTATGTTGAGTAAAAATAACAAAATACAGAGGGGGAATTAAAGGGCAAAAAGGAACAAAAGAAAAAAGGAGATAAGAGAGAGATAAACAAGGAAGGACAAAGGAAAACTGCACAAGTCCCCAAAAGACAGGTGAAGAAAGGGGGAAGAAAGAGAAAACAAAACCAACCCCCCCAAAAGTAAAAGCAATTCACATACTCATAAATACAAATACAAACAAAATGAAAAATTTTTTCTGTGATTTTTGAACTCGTGGAGTCCTGCTAGGACCCTACTACAGTTTTGTGCAGGATATAAGATGTGTCCATCCTCATGCTGGTAGATGAAGAATGCAGGCAGACCTCAGGTCCACGCTGGGTCTGGTAGCAGCAGGCAGTCGGACAGGGATGAGGGTGCCAGCTCAGCAACTTGCAAATCAGAGCAATTCAGGCTGAACCCAGCCTTGGAGGTGGGGGCAGGGCCTGCGTCCTTCAGTTTAGCCCCCACTGGGGTCTCTGGCCAGCCTGACCGCAGCTGTGGCTGTCTCCCATCACAGTGCCTCACTCGGTTGTGGCCGCTGAGGGAAGGTAACACTGGGAAGCCTCAGGTGAAGCTGATCTGCAGCTTCTCTGATTCCTGAGTTGAAACAACCCGTCCCAGGAATGGCATCCAGCCACTCTCTCCAGTTCCAGTGGGTTGAGGACCCTTGGAATGGAGTCACTCACCAGCTGTTGCAGCTCACAGCATCTCTGATTCATTCCAGTGCTCTGAACCTATTATTATTGTTATTGTTATTATTAGTGTTTTTGAGATAGGGTCTTACTACCCAGTTCAGGCTGGTCATGAACTCACTTTGTAGCCCAGGCTGGCCTCCAACTTGCAGCAATCCTCCTGCCTCAGCCTCCAAAGAGCTGGGTTTACAGACCTGTTATTCTTAAATTTACTTGTAGATTGATCAGGTAGTTGTGATAATAGTCTAGTTAGGAGATAATGACACCTTGGATTAGAATCTCAGCAGTGAAAATGAAACATTTAGAGTAAAATGAGAGGTTCTTTTTTTTTTTTCCTCTTTGACATGGGGTCTTACTACATGTAGGACAAAAAGGGGGACTGGAACTTGAGATCCTCCTGCCTCAGCCTCCCAGAGTGTTGGAATTACAAGTGTGTGCTACTGCTCAGCAGTGACAGTTTTTAAATAGACTAGAAAGATGCATAAGATGCTTCTAAAGTTGGTTGATGTTTTATGCAACAGATTGGGCAAATCCAGGGAAGGAAGAGCTAAGCAGATTTTGGGGGAGTGAGTTTTATTTGATGCACAGATTTGAAATTGAACAAAAGTTGCTTGTTTGACTCCAAAGCTTTATATGTGACTCATATTTGATTAGCTTTTGCAAGAAATTTTAATACTAGGGGGCCTGTTGTTTAAGCGCCTGTTCATGCAAAGGCAGTCGGAAGCAGGTTACTGTGGTTTGATCCCCGGCTAACCGTGCCCTTCAGGCAGCCTGAGCCACCCCCCCCCCAAAAAAAAGGAAATTTTAATACTCAATTTGTATGCAAGTGAAAGACAAGAATCTCAAGTCACTTAGCCATCATCCAGCTTATGAGAGAATGTGATTTTTTTTTTTTTTTTAAATGGGGTGGGGACTGGGGATGGAGGTGATGCAGCGGGCCAGGGATATAGTGCTGTGGCACAAGTGCCTGCCTGGCAAGCTCAAGGTCCTGAGTTCGATTCCTGGGGCAAAAAATAAGGGAAATTGAGTGAAAAAGCCTTTATTATATATTATCTTGATACATAGTGCAACCATGTAACATTTGGTGTTCCTTTAGACATTTTCTTGGGCATCTGTGACCAGTAAGAACCTTCCTCCTAGTGGAGCTGTTCCTGTTACTGGGATACCTCCTCATGTTGTGAAAGTACCAGCATCACAGGTAAGTTTCTAGTGAAACTGCAAACTTGTGTTTGATAATGTAATTTTAGCCAGAGCTTAAAGCATAGGACATAAGAAAAGGATACAAGGTATTTTAACTTTCTGTGAGGAGATTGTCAGTTTTTAGTGTAAACCATATCTATTAAGAGATATTATAAGAAAAAGTAAGCATGTATTGTTTTTTTATTTATTTTTATTTATTTTTCCCATAATTTTATTGATAAGCATGTATTGTTTTTTATACAACAGTTAACGTAAATGTTTATTTTTTAGCCTCGTCCAGAATCTAAACCTGAATCTCAGATTCCACCACAGAGACCCCAAAGGGATCAAAGAGTGAGAGAACAACGAATAAATATTCCTCCTCAGAGGGGACCCAGACCAAGTAAGAGCTCCCATAGGTGATTTCTGCAGTTCAGGTGATTTCGATGTGAGGGCTTATCTTGGGGTGGCCAGTTGATTCTAGTGCATACTTTTCTTGTAGAACTAATGGAATTTAGGACAGAGAGGAAACGATTGTGTATGAATAATCCCAGAACAAAGGTAACTTAGCTTTTTCATTGTTTTTTAATTAATTTTATTTTTTTGCAGAACCAGGGATTGAACTTAGGCCCTTGCACTTGCCAGGCAAGCGCTTATTCTAGTGAGCTATCTCCCCAGCCCTTTTTTTAAAAATTTAGTACGTGGTCTATAAGGCCTCATCACACAGATCGTACTTGTACTGATCCTCCTGTTTTCAGCCTCCCAAGAGCTGGGATTACAGGCGTGTGCCATCATGCTCCGTCTATTGCGTACCCACGGGGGAGGGCCCGCACCAGCATGGCACTCCAGGGATCGAACCGCGGTTCCTGCATGTGCCTAAGCAGGCTCTTTAATCCGCTGAGCTATCTGGCTGGCCCTTCATGGCTGTTTTTGTTCCTCCTTTAGTTCGTGAAGCTGGGGAGCAAGGTGATGTTGAACCTCGGAGAATTGTGAGACATCCGGACAGCCACCAGCTCTTTATTGGGAACCTGCCTCATGAGGTGGACAAATCAGAACTCAAAGATTTCTTTCAAAGTAGGTTGCTGAGTTTTTGACAGTTTATCTAGTGTAGTATTATCCAATAGAAACAGACAAGTAGCATACCTATAATTTTCAGTTTTGCCAGGATTCATGTTAAAATACAAAGAAATTGGAGAATTTTAATGTTTTGTTTAACCTATCATATTCAAAGCAGTATCATTTTAATGTGTATAGTCATATTTTGCTTTGCTACTCCATTGCTTTGAATCTCATCAGACTCAGTACTGAATACACTTTGATTCAGAAATTTTGTCCTGGCCCTTGGCATGTTTGGTACTGATTTGCAAACTAGAACTTGATGGTGTTGTCCTGTGACTCACTATCTTTTCTAGCTAAAACTGTTTGGTATTTTACGTCTTTGGCACCCATTGTATCTTTTGGAACCAGTTAAAGAGGAGTACCAAGGTGTCCCTGTATTAGGAAATGCAGGTTGCGCTTCCTTCAGCCAGTATCTAAGTGCCCCAGAATCTGAAACCTGAGCATCAGTGTGCTGCAGGTGGAGAAGTTCACACCCCACCGTATGTTGGGAGTCACAGTCAGAAGGCACCCATCTTGCAGACCATAGATGTTTAAGATGCCTTCTGGCTGTCTGCATGAGGTGTGCATGAAGCAGAAATAAACACCATGTTTAGTTTTGGGTTTCATCCCTAAGATATACATCCATAATCAGTTCTGATTTCAAGCATTTTTCAGTAAGTCATAGATAGGCCCTGTTTTGCATTTTATTAAAATGTAGTCTTTGAGCGTTTTGTGTGTTTTACTCATGCTGCATCTCATTTTGAACTACCTTAAGTTAGGGTTCAGCCACATGGATCTTGTGGCTGCCTTACAGGCCCGTGCATAGCTAAGGCTGAAAAGAAAATGCCCTGCTCCTTTATCTGAGAATTGGTATGGATCTCCCTTGCAGACTATGGGAATGTGGTGGAGCTGCGCATTAACAGCGGTGGGAAGCTACCCAATTTTGGCTTTGTCGTGTTCGATGATTCTGAGCCTGTGCAGAAGGTCCTTAGCAACAGGGTAAGCAGTTTTTTGTCCTTTATTTACCTCTTGCCTCCTTCACTCCTGGTAGAAGAACATCCTTAGGGCTGTCTGACATTAAAATGTTTTTCTATTGGTATTAAAAGACCTGCCTGAGAAGCTGGTGAGATGGCTCAGTGGTCTAAAGCACCTACTTAGAACAAGCTTAGCAAAGAGCACTGGGACCGCGGTTTGATCCCCCAGCACCACATGCCAGCCAGCCCCGCCCCCTGGTGGGCTGAGCTGGACACACACACACACAAAATAAATAAAATTAAAAAAATAAAAAATAAAAGACCTGTCTGGGAGTTGTATTCTGATCACTCCTTCAGACTTTCAGGAATTTGAGATGTATCTTGGCTTTTCTTCATTTCACTAGACTGATGGAGGTCTGCTGTATTCCCCTCAGTAAATCTTCTTGTGTGTCCAGAAATAGTTCACATAAAGCTAATGCCATGAGGTGTGCTTCGCTGTCCTGTGGCATGGAGGCTTTCGGTACTCAGTCACGATGTCTTTCTTTGCTTTTTTTTTCTTCACTAGTGTTGAGTCGTGAAACAAGTACCTTAACCTCCTTGGCCCTTTGTGTCAATTTTTTTTTTTGTAAGTTTTATTTACGTGAGTGTAATAAGCTAGACACTTCACTATGTGTATGTATTTTGTAGATGTAGGTAAATGTACCATCTTCTCATAGTATGTGTTTTTCCTGAAGCCTCTAAATGCATGAAGAAAGTGGCATTTCTGCCGTTCCGGCACGTGCCTGTAATCCCAGCTCTCAGGAGGCTGTAAACAGGTGGATCGCTGTGAGTCAGATCTACTAGTGAGACCCTGATCACCCTGTAGACCCTTCCCTAAAAATACAAAAAATAAAAAAGTGGCATTTCTTACATATATTGAGATACATAATGCTGTGATGTGGTGTAGGTTGTCTTTTTCAAACTACCCTTCATGCCAAATCATGTTTCCGTGTGTTGTTTTTTGTCTTTTTTGCGGAACCAGGGATTGAACTTAAGCCCTTGCGCTTGCCAGGGAAGTGCTTATTCTACTGAGCCATCTCCCCGGCTCCTCCATGTGTTGTGTTAATGGGAAAGATACAGTTTGTGAACTCAGAATAAGAACTCTCAGAACTTGACTGATTTGTGAGTCAAAGGTGTTCCTGTAAGCACTCTGAGTAAGCGGTCACCTTGGTTCTTTCAGCCCATCATGTTTAGAGGTGAAGTCCGTCTGAATGTGGAAGAGAAGAAGACTCGTGCTGCCAGGGAAGGGGACCGTCGAGACAACCGCCTGCGGGGACCTGGAGGTCCCCGAGGCGGGCTGGGTGGTGGCATGAGAGGCCCTCCCCGTGGAGGAATGGTGCAGAAGCCTGGCTTTGGAGTAGGAAGGGGGATTGCTCCGCGGCAGTGAATCGCTCTTCACCCAGCTCCACCAAGAGAACCCAGCTCCTGTGGACCGGTGAATTTCTTCAGCGAGCCTTCGGTGGCTGGGAGTGTGACCCCAGTCTGTTATAAACTGCTTCAGTTTGTACAATTTTCCTTCTTTTGTGTTGATGGTGTGTGCCCCCTTCCTTTTTCCTCTTTTCTCTTGGCCTTTCAGTCCTTCACTTCCAATTTTGTGGAATGGTATTTTAGGAGTGACAGATTTTTAAAGAAGAAAAAAAGACTGAATTTCCTTGCTTACTTTGCATACACAGACTGGATTTTTTTTTTTAAACAGCCATTTCCCCAAAGGAATGTGTCACTTATTACTGACATTTGGTATGTTTCATTCATTGGAATATTTCTTACTTATTTTTTACGTGTTTCAAAAGCCTGTGAGAAGTACAGGATTTGATAAACATTATGGAGGAAGGAAAAATCCAAATTGCTTCTTGACGCGTCATGACTCTTCCGATGTTGAAAAATGGTCATATGAGAAATTTGAAAACTATTCTCACTGATACGGTTGGAAGCCGAATAAGTGGTGTTAATAGAACTTTTCTTTTGATACTGATCACAAAGCAGTTCTAAAACCTACTGTTTTTAACTATTGAAATTTAAATTGTAAGATAGGTTTGAATGTCTAGAATGCAATTGATAGACTTTTCTTGAATTGTTATTTTTTTTCTTGAAGTAGAATTTTTCATTTGTATTTGTTAAAAAAAATGAAAAAGAAAAAAAATACTAACCCCTCATCTGAATAACAACCAGAACAAAACTGTTGTGCCTTCTATTTATCTAAGATTCCACTCTTGGCAATTGTTTAAAGAAAAATAAATCTAGATTTGTTTTATTAGATTCAGAGATACAAGGAATTGTAGACTCCCTCTTTCTTCACCTTGTCTGACTTCTGTTAACACTTGTTATGCCTTATTCTAACTTGATTCTCAAACTGGAATGCCTTTCAGGACAGACGTTTCTGTAGAGGTTCCTTGACCCAAATAGCTGAGCGTTTGTATTAAGTTTTATTTTGGTGTCTAATCAGATTCCTAATCATAGTCCATGAGAAAGAATGTGACTTTAACATTGGACTTAGCTGATGTGCACAAGTGTCTGCAGTTTATTTTTTTTAAATCATAGCCATATGGTAAATTTCCTATTTTGTTATGGTTCTCTTTTATTGATGGGCATGCAGTGGGTGTTTCTTGGAAATGGCCAATTTTTATTAAAATATTTCTGGAAGAAACTTTAATCTGGCAATATAGACTAATAATACTCATTTTACATAGTAATGCTATTTGTTGAGTGTTGTGTGTGAGGTGGGTGAAGATTTTATTTACACATGTGTGATGAAATAAACCTGTTGTGTGCTAAGTTGTCATTACTAATCTGAGGACAACCAGGTTGGTGGAATTTGACTTATTTTCTTATTAACAGTGTTTAACTTTAGGATTGTCATTTGAAGGTAGCATGAGCACAGAAATAGAAGTGATTAGTTTTGCTGTTAGTGAGAACCTGTAGGCTTGCTGTGAATGGATTAGCTAAAACTGAAATGAAGTGTAACTTAATAGTTTGGTCCTTGTACCTTAAGTGTCCAAATATTAGTAGCATCCCCTTCATATAAAGAAAACTTAGTAACTCAAGTCACATGGCTGTGGTTGGGGGTCAGTTTAAATAACTTGTGACCATTTCATTTGGCCCATACCAGTGATAGTTAGAAAGGTTTCAGTTTGTATCTCTGTAGCTTATATTAAGCTTGTGGTAAAATGAAACATGTTAGCCTGAGACTGAGTGAGTGTGTGTGTGAGTGTTACTGTTAGTAATTACCTTTGCACTGAACTTTCCCCATCCATTTTATTTTTTATTTTGAGGTAGGTTCTAAGTGGCTAAGGTGCTCAGGCTAGGCTTGAACTTGATCCTCCTGCCTCAGCCTCCCAGAGTGCTGGGATTTCAGATGGGCACCAAAGCCATCACTACACTGGCTGTGTGCTCCTTTTCAAAAAAAGAACTTCGAGGTCATAAATTACAATTTAGAAATTTTTCTCAATTTACTACCCAACTGGATTTTTCCCCCCTGTTTATTTAAAAGAGATGCACTCTAGTGAGAGGTTTAAGGGCACTAATAAGATGTGGTATTAACCCACATCCAGGAGGACATTTCCAGGTTCGAGGTTCGGAGGGTTGTGGGGATACCACACCATTGCTGATGTGCACTGGGTGGGGACTGAGATCCCGGTGTTGGGTGTGAATGAAGCTGCCCCACCTGTGATGCTACTCCTGTGGGTGGAGCAGAGTGGTGTGGTGGGGTCGGGGCTGACAGGAGGAAGGTGGACTCTCCTGACATTGGGCCTCAGATAATTAGGGAATGTACCTATCTATTAGGAATTACTCTAACATCTGCACTAAGAAGCCGCCCTTCCTGGTACTTGTACCAAATTGTGAGTGTGCCTGGCTGTGCCCTTATATGCGCACACACGTGTGCATGTGTGTGAATGTGGGGAGGTGTGGCACTCTGCTAGACGCTGCTATAACTGGCTATAGGGAACCGCTGCTGTGTCATCTCACACACGTTGCCTCAGAAACAAGTCCTCAGAATTGGCTTGGTTGTAGGGTTTTGAATACTGTTGGACTGGGAGGTGGGATTTAACTTATGCGCAGTATGAGTCCTAGCCCCCTTGCTTATGTTACTGCATGTAGGCAGAGCACGGGAGCGCAGGGAGGCGTGCCTCCACACAGCGTGGAAGTGGAATGAGGCGACACTTTCTGTAAGAACAGCAGATGGTCACATGCGGTGTTTTCAGGTTTGCAAGTACAGATGCTCATCTGTAGCATTGTTAGTGTTCTCTGCTCCGAGCTTCAAACCCTTGACCTGTGAGTGTTTTAACTAGATCAGCTTAGTTTGGTCCAGTGGATCTCAAATCTTTTAAGATCTATTTGACAAGAAATCATCTTAGCCTACCAAAAATACTTTTGCTTTCGAAGTGAGGTTAACTCTGAGGTTTTGCCTAGGAATGGTGAAAAGGATAATCCAAAGTAATTACCTAGCTTAGGTTGAGTCAGTTACTGCCCCAGCATTAGTTCAACTGCACTTTAGGAAACCATTCTCAAGCCTACTGGGTAGAGTAATGATATTACCACCAAAGTAACAGCTGAAGAAATGGCATCAGAACAGTTACGTGAGCAGGCCTTGACGTCATCCACACAGCCCGGAAAAGGTGGCCCTTAAAACTGTTGCTTTTTCTTTAGAATCACATTTGGGTGACATGAATAGTGAATAGGGTATTTAGGGTATTCCTTTTTTCCCCCATTAGACAGGATCTCGCTTCAGACTGCTGCCTCTCACAGGTTATAGGTGCGCTTCACTGTCTGTCTTGAGCAGGCTGTCCTATAACAAAGTTACTGTAGAGAGACCTGAGTCTGAACTCGGAACAAGTTTAGTTTTTCTGGTCTTCAGTTTCTTCTTTTTTTTGCAGAACCAGGGATTGAACTCAGGCCCTTGTGCTTGCCAGGCAAGTGCTTATTCTACTGAGTTATCTCCCTGGTCCCTGTTCTTCAGTTTCTTGAGAGCAAGTAAGTCTTTAAAAAATTTTTTAAAAAATGTATTTGGTTGTTTACAGGGTCTCACTAGGAAGCTCAGACTCTAGTGATCTTGTTTTCAGCCTCTTCAGCCCTGGGATTATCGGTGTGTGCCACCACGCCCTGGATTTTGGCAAGTTTAGCCTGCCTGGGGGCGTGGTGCAGCATGGCTTGTGCTGGGGATTGAACCGCAGTCCCTGTGCTTACCTAAGCAGGTGCTTTAGTCCACTGAATTTGTGTTTTATCACAGGTCTCCTGCTGTTTGTCAAACCTATGTGGTAGCAGTGGTTTCTTAAGATTGTTTTCTTTATAGGGTTTACAATTTAGTACAGATTAGAAATTTGGATGTGGGTGATCACAGTATTTTTTGTTATAATTCAAGTGAGTTTAAAGTTATGTTTGATACTTAATAAAACTACCACACCCTGATAATTTTGTGTACAAACTTTTGGGAAAACCCTTGTTGAAATTAGTGATTTAGTGGAAAAGGGTTGCACTTTATAGAAAGCAGTTAGAATCTCTGAAGTTCAGATTTGTAGACCACAATTTATGTTGAGTCAGTTCTACAGTTTTGTCATATCGATTTGTTTCATTTTTGTGCTATTTAAAAGCATCTGCAGAACTGCATGCAGATAATTGTTGACTCAGCCTTTTTAACCTCCTAAAGAGGGAATATCAATATTTATTTGAATGTGGGCTGTTAGCTGACTACCAAATGTACCAAAAGTAGGCAGTGGGCAGAGAACCTTCCACAGTATTTTTAAAAGTATTTAGGCAGTGTCTGTGGGATTAGGGTAGGGTAGAGCTACTTGTCCCCCAAGGGCTGTGTGACATTAGTTGATAACCAAGTTGAGTGGTTCTGTGTTTAAGAAGCCTTTGGGTTTCTTTAAAAATGCCTTCAGGGTTTGTATTTGTTCCCTGTGAAGTTCGGGGACCATTGGCAGGCCGGGGACGTGTGTGAGAGGAACATTGCTCTTCTGGCTTTTTCCTCATGGATCTGTAGCTCAGGGCAACTGACATTCCCTAATAGTCACAGAGCGCGCCCTGGGTGACTAGCCGACCCGGAAGGCGCCCAGACCCTGTAAGCAGTTTCGACTCTGATAACTTTTTTGTGTATTGGCTTAGAATTAAGGAAGGTTCAATTTTCAAGGTTAATTTGGCTTGTTTTGAAATTTTATGAGTCTTTTTCCTTTTCCTTTTGACTTGAACCTTGTAACTTTTTTAGGTTTGTGTAAGTAAGAATAATGCTGGGAAACAGTTCCCCCTGAAACTTACAAACTCTGATTTGGCAGCTACAGAAAGAAATCTGTGAGTTTAGTACTTTGAAATATGTCTCAGATTTGTAAAGGATATGCTACAAGTGACTTAACTCCTCCCCCAGGTAAATTAAACATCTTTGCCAAACATTCATGGTGGGAGTACTTAAGTAATTTTCAGAAGCCACCTATGGGACATTTGCTTTGGTAGTGATTATCAAAAGGGGATACCTGTTTAATAATATAGATAGGAAAAGTTTTTGCTAATGCTGTAATTAAAGCCACTTTGGTTACTGGTTCTTGCTAAGCTTTGATATTACCCGTTTGATATTACCTGTTTGACTTTCGGATCTGTTTACATTTTAAAATTTTGTAATGTGAAAGTACACTGATTGTGTACTTTTAAATGGAGACGTGATGCCAAGAAGCAGCAGAAGGACCTAGGGTAGAAGACATTTTCTTCCCTTAACATTTAGTGCACATTATCTCAAGTAGCTGTAGAGCATTTCAAATATTCATGTGTATGTCGAAGTGACATTTTAAAAGATTAGGGATGGAGGTAGGATTTAGCCGAGAGAATAGGAGTTCATGATTTATATGGAAAGAAAAAAAAAGTGTATTTTGAGAAAAATCAGGTATTTCCTTAAAGGTTTCCTTTCCTTTCTGATCAGTATCATGGTGGGCGGGAGAGACACCTGGAACTTTTCAGGCATAGATTGCTAATGCTGGAAGGGATTAAGAGGTGGTTGGTATAACCTTTGCTTTACGAGAGCTGTATGAGTGGCTCAGAGTCCCAGATCTGCTTTATAGAAGAAATGTGGAGTGGCTAGGTTCCCTGTAGGAAGGCCAGGGCTGCTAAAAATCAGGACGTGGAGAGAGAAGGGAAGGCACCATGATTTTAATGTTTACCAGTTCATTCTCTGATAACATTTTCATACCCACATTTTCTGTTTTTGTAGGACTGTCTTAAATGCTCAGCTCTACCAGAGCTTGTTGTCTAAGGACATTAACTTGTACTCCCCTCAGGGATGGGTTTACTACTAGCTCTCAGAAGGCTATTGAGTATCCTGATGTTTTTATAGCTGAAACTCAGCTGTAATTTTCTCCTGAATACTGCAGTGTTTTGTATTCTGTACATTGTGGTGCTTTTCCACCTTATAACTGTAAGCTCCTAGGGGGCAGCAATTTGGTCTTAGCCTGGCAGCGCCATGTATGTATCTGGGTCCTAATATTCCTTTCCAGGTATTTCTCTCATTCTTCGAGGAAGTGATGCTTCAGCACGCCCAACCACTGGTGGCCCTCCAGTGCTGCCCTTGCTGATTCCGTGTATCCCAGTGCCTTCTCTTTTCTGAAGACAGACCTGTGCCTGAACCTGGCTTCCCAGTCTCTTCATCACCCAAGTCACTTTTTAAAGATGGGAGTTCAAGAGCTGTTTTCACCCTAAAGAGGTTTGCAGCAGGACTAGGGAATGCCTTGAGGACTAAAGTGTCCAGAATTTGAAAAGAGCACATTTATTCTCATCTACTTCCATCTTGTCCCTCTTGTTTGAGCTTCTGTCCTGACCTTCGTAATTCATAATTTAGGCAGTGAGTTCCTGGAGCACTTTATACCATTCTCATAGTTCATACCTTACCCCTTCAACCTGGAATTAGAATTCGGTTATCTGTTTAACTGCTTTGTTAAGACTGTACGGGATGGGGGTGGGGTGGGCTGTTTGTGCATTCTCCCAGAAGATGCAGTTAAAACTTAACCTTAGAGCCCCTAAATGGTAGTTGAATTGGGTAATTAATTTTCTTTTTTTATTCGTACATGGGAAGCATACCTGGAGAAGGATTTGAATTCAGTAATTTTAGAGGCATTGTGACATTTCAGTGGAGGAAATCTTTGGGAAATTTTGGGGAGTGGCCCAAATAGGGTGAAGTCACTGGCTGTTCCTGGGTCCTTCTGTCCCTGGCCTGGGTAATTAATCTTTGGTACTTTACCTAATGTGTCCCAGGCACTTTGCTTATATGCAGAGTGATTTTCCTAGTTTTCGCAGTCTTGTAGCTTTCTTTGCTCTCGGTTCCTAAGTCACCCCTGCAGCAGGTGCACCCAGCTGCTTCCCTTTGTGTTACTATCCACACTGTTCCTGCTCCATCTTGTCATTTTGCCTCCACAAGCTTTCACTTCTTTTTCCTCTGTGCATAATTTGAGTCATCCTTGGCTTCATAGTACCTCTTCTTATCCCAGCTATTTTCTACACTTACTCATCTCACAGAAAATGCACGCCTGACCGTGTAGCCCACTTGCGTGTTCTCTCTGCCCTACTAGACTGTAAGCTCTCTGTGGGCAGGATCTGTGTCATCTGTGTTACCTCCCATAGCACCTACCAATAAATACTTCTTGAATGAACAAGTGAATTTTTATTTCTCAACGAAACCTTGTCTACAGTGGAACTGTTTTTCAGGTTATACATAGGTTTCTCTGATGGAACACTGGCAAAATAGTAAAGAGTTAACCACAGAAAATTTCAGAAAATTTTAATTTTTTTCATTGGAATTAGCATGGATATGAGTGTGTGGATGGTTCAATAAATATATTTTTATATACATGTATCACAGAAATTTTACATTCCATCTTCAAACGGCAGAAGAATTTTCTTTACAAGCCAAAAAATAACTGCCATAACTTTTATGACTTCATGCAACAAGGAGGAGTAAAAGGGCAAAGGGAATTTGTTCTAGGTTGAGTGTCCGGGAAGTAAAAATGTTACATTAAGGAAGCGATCGATTGCTGTTCGCTGCTTAAGGTGATAGCCAAACAAACCCTTAGCTGCAGCATTAAGGCCGTACCAAGTTTATACATATGTACAAAGAAATTTCCATATAAAAGACTATCACATTTTCTTCTGGGAAAGGATGAGGGATTTTGTAATTCCAACCCAATATACCAGGCAGATTGAGATGTCTTCCGGCTGACTTGGAAACCGGTTCTTTGGCTGCTGTCTAGAGGTGCTGCCACGTTGGCTTGTGACTGTTCTGACCTCACATGGAAGCACTAACCTTGAATCTCCATTCCGGGTGATCAAGCACTTCCTAGCGTGGGGCAACCATGTTTCTTGCATCTGTCTACTCTCCAGGGTGTTAGAAATCACAAAATTGTAACTTGTGGGATAGGTATTTTGCCTGCAACACTTGGCCGTACACAATATATCCTCGTGTGTTGTTAAAATCAGTCGGAGAGTATACTAATAACAAGCCACTGTTGGGTTTCGGGTAAGCGTTGCCTAATTGTTGAAAGTATCTGACTTATCCTGTGTGTATCAACACATTTAAATTGGCAGCTACCTTTTTGGGGAAAAAGGGGAGGGGATGTGCAGTCGGGGAAGAGCCACCCGGGTTTGCCTCCTGCCGAAATATCACACTAGGAATTTTAAGACAAAAGGGTAATTTTGTGCAAATACCAAAGGGTGGGAAGGAAACCTGAAGGGCGGGTCCTTTGGAGATGACTTCCGGTTATGCGGAAGCCGCTTGCTTTGGCAAGATTTGGGGGAGCTGGTGGGTTTGCTGTGGTGGTTGCAGGAGCCGGCTCAGCTTGGTGAGTGCCTCTGAGCCACGCTGAAAAGTAGGTGAAAAGTGACACTCCAGCACTGACTGAACAACTGTTCTACATTGTTACAGCTCACTCTGGAATGTTTTCCATCCATGTATTTAGTTTGTGATTTGGAAGCGCTGTAGTTTGCGCACAAATGAGCAATCCCTGCATCCAGTCAGCGAACCACTCCAAGTGACACTAGTTACGTGCACTGCAGTAGCTGCATCTGTCCTGGCCGTCGTGCTCTTCCGCATTGGCTGTGGTGATGCTGAGACCTTTGGGCAGTGCCAGGAGGCTTAAAGTATTAGGAGTTTCTGTGGGGCGCTGGAATGCACTGCATCCATTTCAAGTTTGTAACAGCTGAAGACATCTATTTTGTCCAATTTTTACGTGGAGACCACTGAGGTCCCCACTGTTTGATTTTTGAAAGTGGAGGCTGTTACACTTTTTAAGACTTTAAAGAACAGTGCACTATATTGTTGAATATGCACAAGAATCAACTCGAAAAAGCCATTTTATCCAATATACAAAGTAGCAAGATAGTAAATTTGATTCATCTCATTTTAACTTGTTAGTATTGAAAATATACTGGCTTAAGCATTAAAAGATCAAACCATTAAAAATGAAGTATGAATTTAAAATGCTCTGGCATGCCTTGTGAGAGCATCCAGCTTTTGCTTCTTCGCTATCATTCAGGCTAATCTGGCATGCTGGGCGTGGTGCACTGGAAATGAGGTAGAGTATGTCTAACATGGAAAAGGGTGAGTTCACCGAATCGCTTACTTGATATGTAAGCATCACTCTTTAAAAAGATTTGTGGGCAATCTTTTATTGACTAGGTATGTAATGCCTTTCCCCAGAATACTCACATTTTGTGGAAGGAAGGAAACTTACAGGAGAAATTTCTTTTTATATGCTTTCACTAGCACTGACTTGATAAAAGCTATACTTCTGCCTTAATTTTTTCTGTCCATATATATGTATAAAAATATAGAGATGCTGCATAAATTGGGAGAAGGGAGTTTAGAATTTCTTTTAAAAGAATATGCGGGACTATGCTTTTCTTACAGGTCTGCTCTGTGTGATATTTCAGTTAGATCAACAAAACAATATTTGCTCCCTTTTAGAAATACCTTCATTGTACCAAGTGTGGGCTTGCTAAGCAACGACACTGGAGAGCTTTCAAAACCACGTAGAGCAGTGGGCTCAGCACCGATGACTACCACAGCCTGCCGCCTTTGCTAGTACCTACTTGGCACAGACTGTGTACTTGATAATTTCAACTGGTGCCCTTGAAGACATGAATTTCCAGTGGGTACCATGTAGGCTTCTGAGGTAAGGGAAAAGGTAAGTTCCAAAATTAGCCCAGGAGAATCTCAATTGCATGGGGGGGTCTTGCCCACTACACCCTGCCTTAAGTTAGGCCCGAGAAGGAGATGGAATGAACTGCTCTGCCTTCGACATTCAAGGTGCTGACCTTTTATATTTCATATGAACATGTTGTGTTGAATTCCAAATTTTTCTTTCTAAACATGCCTCCCATTCACTCAATACTCATAGTGCCTTGTACATGCCTTTATTATTTAGCTGCGTATTTTGTTCATGGCTTCTGGAATCCTTGTCCTCAGCTGTCAGGAGTTACCTGTTCTTTTAAGTGACTGCTCAGGTGCCTTGCAGCATCCTATTTCCTGCCACGCTGCACCCCCAATCCACAGCCCCTTCTGTAACATCCTGCATCCTGGGTTAGTAGTTTAGTTCTGTTGTTCCCTTTTGTACTGTAGGATAAGAACTGTGCCCCTTGCCCTCCTTTCATGGTACAGTGACTTAAAGACAGTAGATAGCAAGGGGCAGGATGACAGGTGTAAAAGGTCAAAATACCAGAAACCCTAGAGATGGTATGCTTTTATACTATTTCCTCCGGTCAAATATTCTCTGGTCTGGGCTGTGCACTCACTTTTGGGATTTCCCTGCATCTGGTTTAACACACATTGCAAGAGGCTAAGCTGCTTTCCTTGGTGAAGCATTTTGAGACAGCCATTCCAAGCATCCCAACAGCTCCCTGCATGACACAATAAGTCCTGTACAGGGTGACATGCCTCCAAGCAGCTGTATCTGGGCCTGTGAGTGGAGAACCTTAGAGACTCAACTAGATAGCTTTTGAGAAAGGAAAGCTGAGAGCTCAGAATCAAGAGCAGGACTGCTTAGTCGGGGAGAAGTCCTCAAGATCAACTAAGCCCATGCTGCTGTTTGCTGGGCCTGCCTCTACACTCACCTCTTACATTATACAATTATGATTTCACTTTGTCGTATCACATAGTGACCCAGCTGGTAGATGTTTAATGCAGTTTTGAATCTTTCAGACTGGCCTTGAACTAAAGGAAGTAGCTGTATGGGAATGGGGATGGCGTGGTTTCAGATAGGATTATAATTTTATGTTAGGAGAAGCTGCAAAGGAATTCATCTTAAACATGAGAATGGAAAGCTATTAATTCCAGGGCTAGGTGAAGGGAGAGTGAAGTCTCACTGTCACAATATGAACATTTGAAGAGCTTCCTCTGATACAGGGCATGTACACATTCCTACTGGGAAAGATAGAAGAGTGCTTTCTGATCTGAGGAATGTTCACTGTAGGGACAGGAATGCGGGAGCACTTTCAGAAGCATCATTCCTGTGGTGAGATTTTGGTTGGGGAAAAGGAGAGCTGGTCAAGCCTAGCCACATCAGTTACCGTGCTTCTCCTTGGTGTTAGAGTAGCTTAGTGAAGGCTACGAATTTAGACAACTCTCCCGGTGACCAGGAAGGGCCTCACCTTCTGCCACTACGACTTGCCTGAGGAATGGAGACATGGGCATTCATGGATACAAGTCTTAAATCCAGCTGGAAGTTTCCTGCTTTGATGAAATTGGGGGTTGGGTGGGGAAGGAGGACAGGCAGGGCGAGGACTCAAAGTCACCACAGTTCTTTCCTGAGGGCTATTTCACAAGTTCAGCTTCCATGCAGTCCTCTGATTTTGCGAGAGACTCTAGATTTGAACCACAGTGGGAAAGTGGTCACAGCCTTCGTGGAACTCGGGCTAAAACATGAGGCTGGAACGCTGTTCTGAGAGGTGATGGGATTTTCCGGTGAAAAGCTAGTCTCCAAGGCAGGTCCAGTGCTGTCAGAGACCTCAACTTTCATGGAAAAACAGTAAGACTGGTGCAGGAGGGCTACGGCTCCCTCTCCTCTTGAAATCTCTCCCTTTCTGTCTACCAGAGTGGATGGGTAAGGCTCCAAGCCCACCACTGAAGTGAAGAATGAAAAGCCTTTGAGAACACAATGTGTACCGTTCTTGAACCTATCAAACTACCCAGAATTTGACTGTGAAAACTCTGCAGTTCCCTCTGTAGGAGAGGAAGCAAGCCAACAGAGCAGCTGACCTATGTTGTATTTGCACTGTGAGCTCAAGTGCCCAGACAGGCACCCTCCGCCTCCTAGTGACCTCTGTCTGCTTCCCATGGTGGGTGTGTCTAAGTAGGGCTCTAGGTTTCTGAGGCATAGCTGCATAAGAAAACAGTTGGACTGGACAAACTGCAGGGCAAGCGCGAGGTACCTTCAGGAGCTGCGGAGTGAGCTGGGCTTGGGAATGAGAGGTCTGCTGCGCTTGGACTCCACACAGCCAACAGCCAACCTTTCTTCCCCAGAATAGCTGGTACGTAGCTGGTTAATGGCCTCACGCAGAACATGGCTTCTGTCACTATGCTCTCTAAAGGGCCTGCTTTTGGCTCACCATTCAGTGTGCCTTCGGCCTTCTAGTGGAAATTTCCCACAGCAATGCAACTTCAGGACACACACATGGTTTTAGCTGCAAAGAGGGGTCACCAGAAATCACAGCCTTAAAACAAAGGAGATGGCAGCTCCTAGGTCTGTTCTTGTCTCTGGCACCCTCAGAAATAAATCAGCATCTTTTGGTAGAGATTGGCTTCACCAAATAAGATGCGCAAACTGATGAAATAGGAAGTGGCCACAGAGGCAGCAAAGGGAGGGGTAGAGGGGAGCCAAAGAGCGCACCCCAACAGGTGTGCTGTTTGCTGGGCAGGCCTTCATGATCCTAAAAAACACTGGGCAATGATTTCTACACTGGAACTCATCTTGCTTTGAGCAGTATGATAAAGCACCTTCGTTACTGCTTTCACGAGCCACCCAACTCTATTGAAACGGCCCTGTGTGGCAGCCAGGTCGGATCAAAGCTGCCCATGACCGTTGCTGTCTCCACAGCTTAAGTCACCCTGAGGAAGTAGGGGAGTAAATTGGCTCAGGGAAAAATCTTAGTGTTCCATTTATTTTGGGCCCTTGGGGGTCTAAGTCGCTCAGGCATGGAGGAGAATGGCAGAGTCCCATGCCCACCTGGATATTCTGGAACCCTCAGCTGAGATGGACACAAGCCACAGCTTGCATTCGAACATCAGGTTACACTGGTGTGGGTGTTACTTTTGGGTTTTCATAAAGTTCTTTGTTTCTGCAGGAGGGTGGGCAGGATGTGCCACTTGCCAAGGAAGCACGAGGGCTCCCCAAGTGGTGTCCCTCGTCTCAGACTGGGCTTCCAGCCAGCCAGAAACACACTGCTGCTGATTTCAGATCCTGACCCCAGTGCTAACGCTAATACACACTGCCCCGTGACAAGCCCAGCCCTGCGCTTGGCAGCTTCCACTAAGTGTGCAGCCGCGGCAGACACAAGGAAGCCCCCTTCTGTTTCAGTGAGTTCACAGAAGACTATTTTCAGTGATGGCCTCAGTGTGGCCGGAGCACCAGTTTGTGCTCCACAATCTGATATCCTGGAGCCTTGTAAAACACCATGGCTCTCTTTACGATGCTCCTGGTGAAGGAAAGAAACTATCTTGCATCATACTCATTTTTTTCTCAAATATGAAAAAAATAGTTTACAAAAAATATCGGTGAGCTTCTGAGAAGGACTCCTTTCCTACTTATTAACAATTTAGAAAAAGATATAATTTAGATCAAATGTTCAACCTTTTTTTATGTTTCTAGACTTAAACAAAAAATAAAATTAAATCCAAGGTAATATACACAAGCCAGGCATGTGGCACATGCCTTAATCCCAGCACTTGGAGGCTGAGGCAGGAGGATCACCAGTTCAAGGCCAGCCTGGGCTATATAGCGAATTTAAGGCCAGGCTGAACTACATAGTGAGACCTTATCTCAAAGAAAAGAAAATACGCATACCCATACATACATACTGATAGTAATGTTTTCTTTTTGTTCCTGTCTACCTGTGTTTATTCTCTATGTAGCCTTAGCTAAGAATGGACTCGTGATTGAAAGGACCAGGCGGTAGAGCTGAGCCATTTATCTTGGCTGCTCCTGAAACAAGCAAGACACACTGTAAAGACCTAGGTGAGAAGTCATGGCTGTCGCCGTCTGACTCCTGGAGCCAGGTGAGATCACCAGGTGCTCTACTCAAACACCAGCACACACACCTAACAGTTGAAAACAAGAGCCCCATTATTGCACCCAAATCAGGTTTTCACCCAACACGCATTTTGTGTCTGCAGTCCCCACACATAGTATCTCTTGTGCTCAAGCTGAAGAAGGAACTAGGAAAAGGTTGCCCTGTTCATTAGAGCCACCTAAAACATTTGGTCTAAACTCTCTGGTTTGATCTTCTATAACGACAACATTCTTGTAACATATCGCTAAGTCCTTGCTACATTACCTGTTGATGGCAGAGTCTTCCCCAGGACCCTGCTCCCACCCCTATGATATTTTGATAGATTTTCCCCACCATGGTTCAGCTTTGACAACATGGTGCAAAAGGCAAATAGAACCTGCACATCTTCCAAAGAAGAGAGGAAACAAAAATGGTGCGGGTTCGGGTACTTTGTGCATACGTGTATATCCACCCACCTAGGTGGATGGTTGAGAAATTTAAGTGACATCCGCTTCTCAGTTGTATGAACTTCCTCTAGAGCAGATGAAGCACAGACTCACAGAGCAGTGAGAGGAAGCCAGGCAGGAGGCTGGACACCCTACCGCTCTGCTCCTGCTGTATTCAGAGCAGCTCACACTTGATCATTTGCCTGGGGCAGGACTGAATTCGGGCCCTTTCACTCTCTGTAATGGCTTTATTCCCACTGATTTTCCCAAGTGATGCTAAGTCTGAAGTAGTTGTAGAGGTGTGGATGCCGCTGCCTCGCTTGGTGGCCCCCATTGCCCCGCACGTAAGCCATGGAATGGGGAGAGCAGGCCAGGGCTCCAGAAGAGGTGGGAAGGGCCCTGGTGCGTTCTGTATCAGGGACCCTGGACAGTGCCGGTGGGAAAGCCAGGTTGGACCCTCAGGTGTTTTAGTTCCAGCGGTTGTGGAACGTCTTAGAACAGTGGGTGTTCTTTGTAGTCTCTGATAGAAACCTACTGCCTTTGGGGCCGATTCGCCTAAACTTTAGACATTCTGAATTAGCCCAGTAATGAGAAGGGATGTAGTAATTTTTGATTAAAAAGAATTTTTACCTAAATAAAGTGAATAAAGTGCTAGTGAAAGGGACTAGTGGCCTTTCCAAAGACTCCAAAACCACTTCAGTGTTTCAGTGTCCCCTCCTAAAGTGAAGGCAGTGCTCATGAAATACGCTCCTCGCAGATGGTCTTATCCTGGATTGGCAGTGGTCCCTCAGTCTTGCCTTTAGCTTTTCCTCCACTGGAGACCTCTCTGTGGTGTGCACAGGATGTCTTGGCTGAGAGGCTCCTACCTATGTGGCTTTCATTGGTCAAGATTTCTTTTAAAAAAAAGGACTCCAGCTCCACCCCATTTCATCCAAGACTGAATACAGTTCACTTTTTGGTCTGTGCAGATTGAGAGAAAGGAAGGCAAGGAACAGCAAACGCTTCTGTCACTGAAGCCTCAGAGCCCAGGCCTGTTCTGGCTGCGTGCATTTTCCTGCCTAAATCCCCCGAGGTCCTTGCTTAGCCTGCTCTCTGCAAGGCCTGTGTGGTCACTGGCCTCTGCACCTTGGGCCTGGGAGGAAGCTCAGCGCCTTAGAGAGAGGCTAGGCTCTGGGGAGGGGGTGCGGGTCTTCACACCCCTCCTCCTCCATCCACCCTGCTCAACTGGGGGTGCTCTAGCAGCACAAGCAGAAACCCACGTCTCAGCACGAAGTGATTGTCAGCTCTGCTTCCTCACCCAGGCTTTGACTGATCCAAAGCCAAGACACTAAAGTGCAAAGGAGATGGAGCCCCGCCTCGAGGACCGCCCACGGCGCAGGCCCAGCAGCTGACCGGCTCTGGCCAGAGCTCTCCTGGCGCTGGCCGGCCTTCCGAGGGCCCTACACTCCGACGGGACTCACTTGCTGGCCCCTCGCCTTTTTCCTCTGGAGTACCCTGGCTATCCTGGGATACTTCCGGCACTTCAGATTTCAAAGGAAAGAGAAATATTTACCTAAATTTCCCACATGTTAAAGCTAAACAAAGCACCTAAAAGGAAAACAAAAAACAACAAACAAACAAACAAACAACCCCCCCCCAACAACTTATAAAAGTAGAATGCGGCAAACCCCGCACATGTTATCTACGATACACGAAATGTCAGGACAGGATGGACAGGCTTTCCGGACAGACATCACCACCCCTTCCCACCCCCGTAGGCCTCATCTGCAGCAGCCTCAGTCTCTGCTTTCCTCTCTCAAAACCGCACACCTTGGAACCACTGGGGAAGTGGACCTCATCGCCCGGTTCTCCCTTCCCCAACACGCATCCACTTGCAAGTCCAAAAAAATAGACATTTGAAAAAGTACATCTGTTTACACTCAGTCTACCTGCATATTATTTCTTGAGATTATTACTTTTTTTTTTTTTTTAAACCATAAAAAAGATTGCATATTGGCAAGATGATGGGAGAACCAGGGCGGGATTCCTGGGGTGTGTGCGGAGCTGGGGGGTGGGAAGGGGCGGGGCTGGGACGCAGAAGCGAGGGAGCCAATGGAGCAGCAGCGCAGCCCCTCGCCACAGCGCGGTCCCGTCACCCGCAGCCCTGCAGCCCCTGCTGGCGCTCGGCTCCCGCCGCCCGCGTCTCCTCTCCACCTTCTCCTCCCGGCTGCCCACGTCCAGGCCGAGGGCCGCTCCGGAAGCGGAGGGGGAATGGCTTTGTGGCGGGCGTCCCCTGGCGGGGGTGGGGACGGGGCCTGCGCGGGGAGCGGCGTGATGAGGCGGCACACACCAGAGCGAGCTTATTTGTGACTGTTTCCACTCTGGGAAAAATTGTCCATCACTTCGGTGACTTGGAACCTTGAAGCAGCTACTAGGCTGATAGGTTAAGAAAGAAATTTTTTGTTCTGGTGGTTCTGCATTAGTATTAAGCATGAATATATATCCTATATTACACCGCTCTCCTTCTGCTGGGGGCAGACGGCGGCCTCCTTCCGGACTGCAAGAGGGCGCAGCCCGGGGACCCAAAGTGTAAAGCTGCGATGCCCCGCGCCCACCCCGCCTTCGCCCTCCCCTGCGCCCCGAGATAGAAAAGCCCTCCCGCCCCACCCGCCGGGTTAAATAGATAGCGCCACATTCCGCACTCATGCACGGCCCTGGGCTCGTCCCTCGGCAGCGAGGCGCGGCCTCCGCCCCGGCTCCGCCTCCCCGCCCGCCGGCGCTGCCTGCCTTTCACTGGTTGTGCACGTCTTCCCTGCGGACGATCTTGTAGATGATCCAGTAGAACATGTTGAAGATGAGGAAGGCCATGGGAAAGCCGATGCGCGAGATCTTGTCGATCTTCTTGGCTCGCTGGATAAAGAGTTTGCGCATCTCCTCCGGGGACTTGGAGGGCGCGGGCGCGGGGTTGGCTGTGTTGTTGTTGTTGGCGCCCTTGACCGAGAGGCCGTCCTTGGCCTGCAGGCAGGCAGGGCCCATGCCGTAGGCCGAGAAGTTGAAGCGGCCTTCCCCCGCCTCGTCCTCCTGGAACAGATTCAATGTGGGACTCTGCTTAAAATAAGGCAGGGGCCGGGCACCCTCCCTGCAAGGCGCTCTCTCCGGGCTGGCAGGGGAGGTCGTCTCGGAGAGGGGCGCCGCCGGCCCAGGAAACAGGTGCAAAGCAGGGGACAGCGCTGCTGGCTGACCAGGGACTTCAGGCCGGCCACTTTGTTCTGTGCGCTCTAGAGGTTTAAACGAATTTCATTTCTCCTCTTAAAGTGGGGGGGATGAGATTCACCTGGCCTGTCTCTTTTCTTTGTTTCTTTTTGTCTTTTTATCTTTTTGAGGCAGGGTCTTGTAATGCAATTCAGGCTGCCCTTGCATTCACTCTAGCCCCGACTGGTCTTAACTCCCAGCAATTCGCCTGCCTCAGCCTCCTGAGTGCAGGGATCACAGGCCCGACCACACCCCACCAATCTCACGGGTGTCTGCCACCGGAGGTTTCCATCGTGTACCAGGTAGCAGCACTGGATTTGGGGCGAAGATTCAGGGAATAATTTGGAGTGATCCCCTGCTTTGCCTCTGTTGCCTCCTGTCCCTATTCCCCACCCCTCTATGGTGCAGGAGGCCGCAGACGGCTGGGCCTTCCTCGGTTTCAGAAGAGCGAACCTTCAAAGCCAGGAGAAGCCTCAGACTTTTATCGGGATTCTTTGTTAGGCCCTTCCTGTGGCTCCAACTGTTTCTCCTAAGCAAATGCCTGTGACCCTCATGCTAATAT